CTGCAGAAAGGAAGACACTCATTCAGACTGGGTAAACCTGGAAACTGAAGGTCAATAAAAGATTGCAAGCAGAATTACCAGGGAACATCAAAGGAGCCTTGAAAATACTACCTCACAACTATGTGGTAGAAAACTTGCTGTGACAGAATGCTGGTAACAGTACAGCATTTTACACACTTAAACAGCAGCATTTAATATAAATACTACGATACCGTAGCAAATATGGAGACTCCTGCACTAACACATCCAAGCAAATCTTCCCACTTACAGTTCTACTTCACACTTATCTTGTTCTTAACTTCTTCCTTAGACAGCCCACTGCTGGCAATTGCCAGATGCAAAATCCTCAAACAAGACAGGCCTTTGCCCGAGTAGGTACAGCTGCTCAAAACAACAGCATATGGAGAGATGGATTTTTTCAGTGCTGACTTAGCCAAAGCACTATATGTCAAAGGCAAGTAGTAATCTTCACTTTAACTTAAATAGTTTTCAAAATGCCTGAGGGCCAACGGTTTATTTTGTCATATAAAGAAACCGGAGGCTAAGATTCAGTAATTAATGGAACAAAACTAGGAAGGTTCAAAAGCTTTCCATACATTAGCAATGTAAAGTGTTTCAACACTTTAGGAACACTATACTAATCAACACCGTTTTCAAAGACACTGCCTCTAAACCGTTTATAGTTTTTGATCAAAGCAAGTAATTTTGAACACTTTTGCATACAACAAGACTGACTGGATCTCCCCCCTGCACTCCCTTTTGTAATGTGAGAAAATACAGCATTTCTACAACAGGTTTAATATACAGATCCTAACCTAAAACTGCTACTTAGGAAAAGACTCCTATAGACTCTTATCTATTCTTCTATGCCCAGAGGTCAGCTTCGTAAGGCAAATCCATAGGCAACTAGTTTTTATTTATCATGGAATGAGTTAAAGTTTTACTTAAGTTCTCATTTCATACCATAAACATCAGTTTGTAAATTCCCTATGGGATCATCAACATGAGATACACCTTAAGTGAGATGACAGTTCTCAACAATAGGATGAACAGTTGAAGTCTGATTTTCAAGAGTTTCTACATATACCAAAAAACATGTTATTGGGCTGCTATTTAGGCTTTACAGTTTCTTTGCAATACAATGTAGAAAATTGCTTGTGTAACGCTTAATGAATATATGAAACAAATCAGTACATTACATTATCTACAAACAAACTACTACACTAAAAACCCAAGAACTTAAAGTATTACGCAGAATTCAAAGCCTGTTTCTGAAAGATTACTCTGTCTCCTTTAGAGCCTGGGACAATACTACATACATCATCTATATAATCTTTATACCAAAAGACAGTGCCTACTTTTGATACATTGGATTCTTCTGAGCAAGCTTTTCTGGAAGACCATCTTCATCATCCAGTTGTTCCAATGGTTCCACAATAACTGGCCTAGGAGTACTGAACAAAAAATACTCATTTTACTTTTCTGTAAGAATCTCCATTCTGAAAAACTAGAAGCTGACAATTTTATTCAGCTTCAAACTAAAAGCCCTAAGCAGCAGAATACTTACGTTGTCAACAAAAACACTCCCTCGGTACACCGTTCAAATGCTTTCCTTGCAGCTGGCTTTGATGCAAATTCAACAATGCCTTTTCCTGTTGATCTACCTCGATCATCTACAATCACAACAGCTCTTTCCACTGGACCAAACTGGGAAAAAGCTTCCTCCAGCAACTCGTTGGACACATAGGGCGAAAGATTACGCACTGAAAGAGCAGCAGCATGTGTGGCAAAACGAACACGAAGCTGCCGACCCCTCATGGGGGTATCGTCCAGTTCTGCCTTCGCAATTTCTGCAAGAGCTCTAGATTCCTGAGGAAAGTTTAAGATCCAGTTTTAGAAAACCAAGTTGTAAATTACTATTTCGTGAGAATTAAACAGATGGACGCACAGTACAAAAGCCTACCAATTTAATGAATCCAAAGCCTTTCCCTTTGTTGATAAAAACCTCTCCTGGCTCCCCGTATTTGGCGAACAGTCTTTTAAAGTCTTCGTCTGTTATATCAGCGGGCAAATTCCCAACAAACAAGCGGCAACGCTGCGTATAGGTCTTCTCCCCAGGTCGCCTCAGAAGGGAGAGGTTTGCTTTAAATCCCTACAAAGAAGCAGACCGGTTCGAGCCATCACTGCGTGCAGCCCCGCCGCCTGCACCGCCAAGCCGCGGCCTTCTCCCGCCAGGAAGCCCAGAGCACCTCCAGGGCACCGCACGCGGATACAAACCCACGCTGCCACAGACCCCTCAGGCTGCAGTCGGGCGCTGCCTAGGCACCTAGGGAACACGCACGTTATGTTTAGGCGTCCCCGCAGCGCGGCGGCACC